TAATTGGAGAAACATGTTATGATTGTGATGTCACTGCTGCTACCAGAGCTGGGTATGGGGAGACAGCCTCTAGACAGTTCTGCACAGCTGCTATACGTACGCTCCTATTTTTAATTCTTGATTCTATTTTTTAATTCTTGGGTGTTTTTAGCTTGTTTTCTTTTCAGATTTACAATTTGAAATTTTGGGTTAGTAAATTGGTACCATTTTTGCATTTAAAAGCAAACTGGCCCCAAATTTGTAACAGTTGAATTGATTCCTCACTTAATTGAACACATTTTTCCATCAATAACAAAGTCACTTTGTAGGTATTGCTACCTGCAAACTACTGCAGCACATTTTAATCCATTATTACAAGCTAAACAATAAATATATATATATATACAGGACACTGGATGCAGATATGTAACAATTCTCCAATTTCAGCTCCTCCTTTTGATGAACTGAAAGAAGTTGTGCAAAGTGCCCAGCGATTTCAGAAAACAATAAGGTTCTCATTTAATACAAATAAAATGGACATAAAGACAAGGTAAAGTTCCAAGATATTCCAAATGTTACATTCAAACATTTTATTCATCTGTTATCTGGTGTTTCTAAAGGTTTTGAGTTTTTTTCAGAATGAATAGTTGTACGCTCCAATGTTTTCCAATCATCATTCATCACATTTTGCAAAATCCTTTTAAAATTAATAATAAGTAATATGTGATACTGATAGGTGGTAATGATTATAAACCACAATTACACTGTAATATCTTAATTATAATTGTAGGAATATTTCAATCTTCATATGAAATGTACTTTGATATTCATTAAACATGATCTGAAATTTGCCTTGTAGATATAAAATCTTAATAGAAGACAAATCGACAAAAAGGAGGAGGCGTCAAACCCTTAAAGAATTTGAAGATCTCGATTATTACTCTGCAAAGGCCAATAACCTTTTGTATTATGTGGCGGCTGAAGTGAATAGCACAGTAGAAGAATTGACAATAGGTGACAACAAAACACATGGTGGTTATTATAATCCACCATTGGATGAGACAAAGCAATATGCAGCATATCTCCAAGGCAGTACAGCTTATGATGGGGTATGTTCTTTCGATAAGATTGATTGGGAACATAAATGTTGCAAACAGTAATAAAATCAAGTCTAGGCAGCATGTTTCAGTTGATCTTGCATAAAAGACTTTAGCTATACTGAACATCTTAAATCCCAGCATAGTAGAATAAGCCATCAGTGCGCATTTGATTTTTTGAAGTGAGTTTCTGTAGATCGTCAGATTTCTCCATCTGATATCTCAAATTGGTTTGTTTATAAGTACAAATTTCTACACCCTTGTAAGACTCATGTGCAAAATTAATTTATAAACTTGATTGGTTAATGATTTTCTCCCGAGCATGCGCAAAGTCTGATGAACACTTATCATGAATACACGTAATGATCATTACTAGCTCTCGAACAAAATACCAAAATTCAGATCATTTTGCTATGTTTGCTAAGCATGTATATGTGAATGACAAGCTGCTGTCTGTAGATTAGGTATGTGTTTTAAACACCGCATTAATTTATCTTGATATTGACGTGCACAGACACATTTTTGAGCATGTTAATACACGGTTTTATATCCTTTGCAGGACACAGTTTTCGAAAAATCTAATTCACTTGATTATCATCTGGATATGTATTTCTGCTGACGTTTTAAGACCCAAACGCATAGAGTTACGATGCAGAATGATAATAAAACACAAAGCGACGACTAGACTAAGAATACCACTGCCTAGATTTTTTGCAAAGGTTGCCAGACATTGGATTGATCGCCATATTTGTAATAAAAATATCACTAAATAGAGCTTTGCGTATGTCAAAACACATCTACTGAAAAGACATCACTTTCCCGCTGTACTAATTACAGATTAAGGTTACATCAATAAAGAATCATCATTAATTTGGAAGTGACAAGTAAATGAAGACTTTGATCTTATAATAAAATTGAACAGCTAATACTAGTTGGCTGTATGTTAACATTACAATGCTGATCGATTTGTGCTTTCAATAAGCTTTCATTTAACTAAAAGTAATAAAAGTTAGCACAATTTCATTATAGGGTAATGAAAATATATACTGCCAAATTTCAATTCCGTAAATGACACTCAATTTTTCAATCAGCAGAATCTAAACTAAAAACTTCAAATACAATATAAAAATTGACAACTCAGCTATGATGTAGCACTCCTAATACCTCATAGAAAAATCATGGTGACATAGAGAAATATCTTTACTGTCTATGGACTGCTTCAAGCTCACGTGTCCCAAAATTACCTACACTCACAAAATCAAATAAATCACAAATATAATAGACAATGGATTACCTGTAGGTCCCAGGGAGTAAGTATAAGTTGACATTACTTTCAGGCTTTACTAATCATATTGAGGCTCACCTACTTAGACTACTGGATAATTTATTGGAAGCCTTCCCAAAGTTAAATTACATTGTTTACAATCCTATGAATCTCAGTAATAATATTTTCAGTTTATAATAGGTAAATTGATGACAATTATTAATCGACCAATCAAATGACAAATGACTACTGAAATTTTTCATTTCTCTCATAAATGCAATTTTAATGAATTCCGAAAAGGTGATTTATACAACATAACACACAAAAATACATAAAACTTTCAAATCTTGATGAAAGGAGTGTTGTAATCATAAAAATTTTCAAATTGAGATTTGTAGAAATGGGAATGAATTGTCTAATGGATGATCACAGATTAAAAGCTTTTACCACAAAATGAATGCCAGAACTATTTATTACTTTTGCATTGTTCATCATCTGTAGCAATGAGGATAGAAATTGAAAATATTAGGTATAATGTCCATTTCTGTTCACTAGTAATCAGGGTTTGGTGTGAATAGGAGATTTCTGGTGTTAATTGGTATGAAAAATAATTTTACTACCATCTAACACCAAGTCACACCATAAAACTGGTGTGACTTGGTATGAAAGGATTAAGAGATTAAACCCCTGCTGTTCAACACTGAGTCACACCATACTGCTGGTGTGAGATGGTATGAAAATCAAATTTAATCCCTTTGATCTCTACAAACAAAAATTCATACCAAGTCACACTGAAAGTTTGGTGTGAATCGGTAGTAAAACATAAAACTTCATTTTCTTAATCCTTGATTGCATTTTAACATGTATTTGATCTCTTGATTGCCTTATACTTATTGTTTTTGTTTTTATAGATTATTAGTACAGTGTTCCAATACAGCAATTAAGTAATTTCATAATTAAATCCACTATGATTTATTAAAATAAATTAATTCTAAAATTAGTTTTATATTTATTCAATATGTTTGCATACTTTTGGGAGGTATAGATAATCATCACAATTGAAATTGTATTCCTAAGTGGACAAATCAACAGAAGCAATTACTTATGTGTACTTACTGAAATCATTTAGTCTTTTTATCGTAATAAATAATATGCTAGCCATGTACAACAATATACATATAACTAAAAGGATAACTCTTCATCTTATTTGTAATTTACACACCAAACTCTATCTCCTTCAACAGCTACAGCTAAGGGTTTGCTCAAAAGAGACAAGTGATATATTTTAGTATCACATTTAATGTTATGAGAATGAAAGAAGGAATATATCTCTTCTGGCAGTGGAAATAAAGACACAATAGCCCAGGCATCCAATTTACTTTTGAATTTGTGAGTTACAATTTTCTCAATTAAACCAAATCTCATTTCAGTTTTAATTTTTATATATGCAGAAGAGTTAATTTTAGTTGTTTATGTATCTGGTTTATATATGATGCATTCATTATTATCACTTGATATTTACCACTCCCCAACAAACTTACATACTGGGTCAATGTCACATAAATTTGGTTTCTCATTAGGGTAGAGGTTTTCATAAAAATGTGCAATTGTTCTTGAGCTCCTATAGTCCTCTTTTAACAAAGAGAATGTCCCACATTTATCTGTAGATGGTGACATTGACATATACTGTCATAGTCTTGGGGGTTTCTGATGGAACTTTCTTGGTGACTTTAGCTGCCTGACCACTTAATGCCATATGGGACACCCAATCGTAAACTGCATATGTTTCCATGATGGTTGCTTCTTAATGCTCTTTGTTCAGGGCCTGGCGTGCCACCCAACACTGAACAACAAATGGATAAGTCCATTGAGCATACATGGGGCCAAAACGTCCATTACCATATGATGGAATATATGGGTAGTATTTATGAGTAGTCAAATTGTCATCTGCCCTCACTTCAGTGACACTCTGAGCAGGTCATTCCATTATGTCTACAGTACTGTATGGGTACATTTTGACTATCTATGGGCAATTAGGAATTATCTATGAGCATAGTAATCCCATTATTGACTCTAAACCTTACATTTATGAGTAGTCAAATTGTCATCTGCCCAGACTTCAGTGACACTCTGAGCAGGTCATTCCATTATGTCTACAGTACTGTATGGGTACATTTTGACTATCTATGGGCAATTAGGAATTATCTATGAGCATAGTAATCCCATTATTGACTCTAAAGCTGACATTTATGAGTAGTCAAATTGTCATCTGCCCACACTTCAGTGACACCCTGAGCAGGTCATTCCATTATGTCTACAGTACTGTATGGGCTTATTTGGACTATCTATGGGCAATTAGGAATCATCTATGGGCATACTAATCCTATTATTGACTCTAAAGCTGACATTTAGTAGTCAAATTGTCATCTGCCCACACTTCAATGACACTCTGAGCAGGTCATTCCATTATGTTTACAGTATGGGCACATTTGCCCATCCTTGTCAATTTTCATTTAAATGTATTAATAACATGGCAGTGATGGGTAGTTCATTACATATTACCTTACTTTTTTTACTATGCTTGTTTATCTGTATGTGCAAAATGAGGCTCATTAGATGTTAAGTCATATCTATTCAAACAATGTAGCAATACCAAAAAAAAACAACATGACATCAATGTTTGATATTTTTGTTTATTATACTCAGTTGCTCAATTGCTTCACTAATCCTGTTTGTGACACTCATCCATTAATGCTATTTTAATAACTTGACAAATCAAGTTTTTTTTAATCTTCAAGGTTTAAAACAATTAATAATAATTAGAATGTTTGACGATTAAGTTTTTTCTCTAGTTATTTGGAAAAAATGAATTAGACTCAAACTAAACCTATAAGAATACTATTAAAGTTTTAAACATATACTAAAATCAAGTAATTAATGATAAATAAACATGTTCTTAAATAAAAATTCAAGTTTAGTTTCCATTCTAGACATGTTGACAAATCCCTTAGAAAAAAATACAATAATAAGCAGATCAAAAGATTAAAGGAATTATAAATTGCAATCAAGAACTATGAAAATTTTACTACCAAGTAACACCAAGTTTTCAGTGTGACTTGGTGTGGATTTTGATTTGTAGCGATCAAAGGGATTAAAATTTATTCTAACACCATCTCACACCAGCCAAACAGCATGACTCAGTGTTGAACAGCAGGGGTTTAATCTCTTAATCCTTTCATACCAAGTCACACCAGTTTTATGGTGTGACTTGGTGTTAGATGGTAGTAAAATTATTTTTCATACCAATTAACACCAGAAATGTCCCATTCACACCAAACCCTGATTACTAGTGGTTGAGATAAAGACCATTAAATGTGAAGCAACTGATTTATAACACTAAGATACAGAACTTAGTGCTATTAGAAGACCCCCTTGACATTGATGTGAAAGTAAATGTCACATCCTAGTGAGATAATAATCAAATTAATAGTTCTCACTTCCTCCATAAGGAAGCATATTGTAATTATTGCTATTTGTTTCAACTAGCTGGATATTGCAACTTTATCCAAAATTCTATTTTTGATTAAATGCATCAAATTCAAAATGAAGCATTTTTCCAAAATAAAAGGTCTGTGGAACTGCGCATGGGCTAAATGGATGTATTTCATTTGATAATGCAGACCAGTAAAATGTATTCCTGAAGACCTCGAAAAAGCAGAGAAACTTAAAACTATGAAGCAACTGAAACTAAATAAGAAATCTTTAAATCTCTACACCTCTGGAATGTACCAGCATATACAATTTGAACCAAATCAGCTACTGATATTTGAGTTATCAAATATAACATGTTTTTATAAAAATTTTGAAATTCAGTGGCCATTTTCAAATATTTTACCTGAGCAGAATTCTATTGTCCCAATTTTGAGAATGTAAAATCTTAACTAAAACTGTCTACTGGTATTTGAGCTAGCAAACATTACCTTTTCTACAAAAAAGGTGACCATTTTGAAATACAGCGGCAACAATGTCACTAGGTACCAGCATAAGATTTTAACAAAATCCGTCAACTTCAAAGGTTATATTTTTCAGAAAAATTGTGGCCATTTTGAATTGAGAGGCCATATTGAAAATTTCTTCTAGAAAGGTGATTCTACACTCTTAACACCCCAGTCACATTTGTCGCACGGCGGCCGCAGGTCAACCGCAGAACAATTAAATCGGTGAATTTCTGCGGCGAGCGTAGAAAAACTACGCTTGCCTTGCGGCCTCCGTACGGCAAATGCAGATTTTTACAGGCCGCAGGGAAGGCGTAGAAATTATAACTCGGAGTTATAATATTTGTTCATTTCTGAGGTCCCCGTAGAAATCAACTGGCTCAACAAGATTGAATCATTAATTGTCAATGTTTCACGATTACTTTTAATTTGATATTACATTCTAGCACTATGAATAACATTTATAAATTGTCCTGATGTAAATAAAATGAAAAAAGTATAATTTATCAACAGAAATTTAAAATTCACTGTGCGGCTGCCGTGGGAAATGTGACTGCAAAAGTATGAGAGCGCAGAAATTCTGCGGCGAGCGTAGGAAAGCAACTGGCCGCAGAAATGATAGACCGCACGGCGGCCGCAGGAAATGTGACTGGGGTGTAAGGCACAATCCTATAAAATATGAACCAAATCCATCAACCTGTATTTGACTTGATCCAGACACACTAACGAACAAATGGAAGGATAAATAACGAATAAATGGATGGCTTCTCTATCTAATGATGACTGGATTGCTATATTGCAAGATTCTCAAAGCAATTATATTTGTTATATTAATTCTCTTTTTTTCCATATGGTAGGAACTAAACCTTCTTTTCAATGTAATCAACTTATCAAGCTAATTCTCTGTCGTTCTGTGACCGATTTGAACTAATTATCTGTCATTCTGTGACCTATTTGAAGGCATTCTTTGTGGAATATTGATAATTAACTATAAAAATATTTACACATTCACAATTTGTAAATTTTGGTTTATTACATTCAGACTGTCTAAATAAGTCACACAGTTTAATCAATTAAGTGAGAATCATTTGAATGTCTTATGATGAATATATTTTGTAATCTAATAATCCTTTGAAGAGCATTGAACTTTGAGTATCTAGTCTCAATGTCACCATGATCGCCATATCAATAAATATAACCAATCCTTGTATCAAATAGGATCTTCAAACACAACCAACAATACAATTTATCTTCAAGTTGATATTTCAACTATAGCACTCAATTTTATATTCTCAATCACAAGCTAAAATCAGCATTGTTGTACTGTTACTGTTGTATGGTTACAGCTTTCTATCCCATAATAACCACCTTGGAATAGTCATAGTACAGGAATTTTAAGTGCTCTCCATGTTGATCAAGAGGTCCTTTCAGTGCTTCATTAAATTATTTTAACAGAATTTAAAACTAGCAGACCGTACCAGGAAACTGAAAAATAATGCCACGATGATAATTATTACAAAATTGCATGTCACTGACTATAGTCTCTGTTTAAAACTAGACTGCGAAATAAATATATAAATAATTCATGTCACATGAAAACCAATTCAGCACATTCTTGACCATACATTCTGATGTTAAAAATGAATACATGTTGAACTGAGGATAAGTTCTATTATTCAGCATATCACAGCCCGTTTTGAAAATCAATTATATTTGTTTAATATATCATGATCCTGTTTTGTTATTTGTGTCTCCTCGGAGGCTGTTGTTTGTGTTTTCCAAATAGAAACATCATGACATGAATGTAGATGAATGAAGCAATAAACTGTAATATTACAAATATTCAACCTTGCCCCAAGATGACTTGATGTTGTTTTCATTCATTGAAATTGTTCTCAATCTAAGGGTACATGAAAACACGTCTTTCACTTATCAAAAATGGAAGAAAACACCAAAAACATCTAAGCACAAGTGCCAAAGGACCAAAACCTGTAAAGAAACCTATTTAGAAGTATTTCAAAACACAATATGCCATAAGATCATTATGTCAGCAGTCTTAAGAGAAACATATCTTCAATACAAATTTATTGTTAAACATCACCTCCCCATCTTCGGGCCCATCTTTAGGAAAGCATTAGCACTATCAGAAAATCGTGGCGATAAATTTTTATGATAGAAAATAAGATAGAAATACGAAGTCAGAACATTTTATTCATTTCAATATTCTAGAACTGTGGTTGTTTTTATGTTATAATAACAAAATGCTCAATCCTTTTGTCAATATTTCAGGATGAAAGTTCAACACTTACTGAGATAAACGTTGAAAGTGACAGCCCAACTGGTGAACCTACTGCTCCATCTTTAGCAAACAACCCTCTACTTATAGCTGCTATAGTGATTGGTTGTGTTGTGGCGCTGTTACTCATTATTGGGGCAGTATGTCTGATTAAATATTCAAAGAACAGAAAAAACATGAAGTAAGAATCAAACCTTCTTTAAATACAAAAGTAATGAACATATCTACAAATGTAACTAATTATCTGTGGTTGATACTGTATGAGATATCAGATCAAATATAATGCTATTAAAGATTTAAGTTGTGGAATCATCCAAATTTATTTTAATTGAAAAAGTAAATTATTACAGTACTTTGGAAATATATTCTCAACTCATCTCCAAACATTCTACTACCTTTAAATAATGTATAGCAACCCACCATTCATCAATTACTTATTTTTTCAGGGGAGGTTATGAGGTCACAATGGATGGTAAAATACTAGAGAACTCTGAACTCTGAACTGAACTCTGTAAAACAACTGGATTGGATCATATGATAAATCAAGTGATAACATAAGTATGATCCAACATGACAGTTAGCCATATAATGAGAAATGGATTATAAAAACATAATATATTAAAAGTAAAGCTAACCCTTCAAGTCATGCAGGACAAGAGATTAATGTTGTTGATTCACTAAAAAGAGTAATCAATGTAAATTTAATTGTATCAGTACCCAAGGAATACTCAAGATAAAGTATTTACTAAGGTTGATGTGACTCCAAAAATGGTTAATGATAGCACTGTTTAGTACTTCTTGATACATAAAGTATCATTTCTTGAGACATTTATATTCATCCAAAATTAACCATATCATGCATAATCAGATCACAGAATGATTTGAGCAATCCATAAGGGCACTGAAATTCTCTTTTTTAATTATCTATATCCCTGTTTAGTAGATAATAGGCTTGTTTTAAAATAATTGGACCTATTTTTGCTTTATTGATTTTCCTTACAATACCAGCAATATTTTCAGAATACATTAAAAAGGCACTATGTGCATTTATTTGAAAACCAAATGTGATATCTGATAGAATACATTTCTATGTGAACTGTATACGTTGTTTTATGCTCTTAATTCTGTATATGAAAACATGTCTAACATAAATAAGTTGGCCTGAAAAATCCATGTATCAATAGATCAGATGTTTAAGAAGGGACTGCAAAATCTCAATAATAATGATGTCCCTCCAGGTATAAAACCCAATTGCGCAATTTTGAAATTGATTTCCATAAATGGATCAGGGCCAATGGACAAGGGACCATATGACAAGAAAATCCGGAAATATTAGAAGTAATATATAGAAATGATTGATTAATGAGTGTAAAGGACATGATCGTGGATGGCATTTCAACATAGTTGATATACCCAAGATCATAAATCAGTTAGTAATAGCACTCAGTATGAAGTAATTTCATCAATGTTTTCTGCTTATACAGGTGGCTTATAATTTGTGAGTCCTTCTCTTTCTATTACTTGTTCATTTTTTAACTAAAATACACATACTTGAAATAGAAATGGGACTGAAATGTAAATGTCATGAACTCAATTTTGTAAACAAATAAATACATGTACAAATACACGTTAAAATACATGTTGATGTCTTTAAAAGCCTCATACCTGACTGCTATATACTTAATCACATGGACAAGAGTTTGACAAACATGATGGTTATGGCCAATATAAGTGACATCACCACAGTGCATTAAAAGCATCTTTTTCCCCATTTAGACATGTATGTATCCCAGCTTATTAGATATGGCAGGGCATGCTCTAAATATTTAAATTTTAAGTCAAGACTTCAATACTTTAGTGATCAAACTGTTAGGTCAAGGTTATACTTGTATAAAGCTTAAGAAATACTTCCTGGGCTTTGTTGAAAAATACAAATCATTAAATTTGAAGTTTCAAGTTTTACCACTCGAGATGCCAAAGGATGTAGGAATTGTTTAAGACCTTGGCGCTGAACTCACAATTTTTTCACTTGGCACCTTTTGAGGTGGATCCCGGCTATGGCATTAATGGTTGAGAAGGGATCGAAACCAGCCATGGTTTTCTCCTGATGACCATTATGAATTATTGTGTTTTATGGATTATGGCGACGGCTTTTGTGAATGGATGTTGACCCTTTGAAATGCCTATGGACTTGGAGACTGGATTTTATCTATCCCACATCATTTGAGACTGAATACTTGTATGAGTACTTGTATCTACAACTATTTTTGATGTCATGAGTATTGGCTATCAATTTCTAATTTTTTCTTTTATGTATTGTAATGACTTCAGTATGAATGAAATGTCCCTTGGTGTTCCGGTCTTGGATTGTGATATCGGTTCTTGAATGGTGGGGGGAAAGGGGGTATTAGAGATTGTTTCTTTTCACGTTAGATCATGGTTTTGGGATATATGGGGTCCGTTTTTCTTGACTGGTAAGCTTTTTCTTGCGAAGTTCCATTACAACTTTTGGTCCTTTTACCTTGGCACTTGTGCTTAGATATTCATTTTATGTATCAGAATATGATTCATATAGGAAAATCTATACTCACTCTTATCAAGAAATATTGTCTATTTTGAGGATGACATACACTCCCCTCCATAAGTTTGGCAACCTTAGCTCCCCCATTGAACTACGTGCTAAAGCCTCTTTAGGTTTGAATTTTTATTTACTTAACCTGCGATGAAATAACTTATAGTATTGATGGCAACGTAACTGGACTTTATTTCAAATACCTCCAAATTTTCTCAATTTTTTTCCTCAATTACAATAGGTTGAAAATTGATGATAAATTTGATGAATTTTTATAAAATTGTTGTTCCCATGTAATCCAATGGGAAATGGAGGGTTCAGGGCAAATCAGAAATCAAATCGGATATCTTTTCAGTAAAAAACTCAGCAAAAAATATTGAAAATTGCATTGTCTAACTTTTTTGTACACTTAAGTGTTCAGTTTATTTGATGAATACTAAAGTTACAGCGCTTCCCATTGGTTAACATGGAATGTTGATTTTCAAAAATTCATCAAATTTATCATCAATTTTCAAATGAATGCAATTAACCTCTTGAATCCCAGGCTCTAAAATTGGCATGAAACCAGAGAATTTTTCATTTTTTGCCACCTTTTGACATTTTATTACATACCTATACAACTTTAGATGCTCAGCTTAGTAAAATTGGACGGCAGAGATCATTTCTACACGTTTTAAAACAATTTTTGTGTAAATTGGATGAAAATTGTTCAAACGAGAGCAATTTTTGTGAAAAATTTTGTGACGGATTTTCTCGTCCCTCTGGGCACCAGTCTTATTTCATTTGTGACGGATATATCTGTCACTCTGGGTATTCAAGAGGTTAAGGAAAAAAGAGAAAATTTTGAGGTATTGGATAGTGGTTGGAAGACTGACTCGTGTACTCAAGTTTCACTCGCATTTGTCCTAAAAATCAATTGATCGAGTTGAAAACTTGAACTCACGATTTGAAATTTTTACCAAAAAATATTTTTCACTTGTTTTTCACCTTACCTCGACTCGCCATTCGTCTCTCCTATTCGCAATTTCCATGCTTATAGTTGTAATGTTCTGCTTAATCTGTATAGAATACAACTTATTTTCTATTTAATACCATGTGCGGAAGACAAACATACTTGGATTTTATTCTGCGTTCGTTATTTTTATGCAAAAGTTCCATTTCCGGTTTGATGCATTCTGGGAATATCCAACAGCCGAGAATCACTATTTATCCGGTAAGTTTTACTATTTATAGGGGACTAGGGGTGAACTTTAACGATCTATAGGGATGTGCAATACGATTTAGACAATAAAAAGTATAGAGGCACTTGAAAGACTTGTTCAAATTGATGAATTCTGCCGCTACTTGGGAAACTGAAACCGGAAGTAACTCAACTAAGTCAAATCGCGAATATAATCGTGGTTTTTCATGGCCAACTCGAGTGGAGATTTTCAGGCTTTAACACATAGTTCAATGGGGGAGCTAAGGTTGCCAAACTTACAGAGGGTAGTGTATCAATTCATCCTCTAAGGATCTTGACATTGTTTCCTGTTTACTTCATATCATATTACACGGATCAAATATAATGAATGAGATGTATTATGGTACTATATTTGACATGTATTACTCATTTAAAACTATAGTCCAATATATTAATATGGATGAACTAATGAACAAAACTCCCTTAAACATAGTTATGTTATTTAGTACAGTAAACTAGATATTGTATGGTAAAGTCCATTTCCGCCCAATCATGCTTTAAGCAGTGCAATGAATATACCTAAATACACTATCACAGAGTGTTTTACTCAAAATTCTGTCCTGGATGTTATTTCTTAAGGATCGTATTGTGCACTTAATATATTGTTTTGTTGTCACATAATCAAGTTGATATCTGTATATGTTTAACACCACATATAAGAAAAGCCAATATCTTTTAGGTCCCTATTATACTTTTGGAATACAGATTTATATGATGTTTATTATATAGACCTATTGATTTTTATTAATAAGCCCCAAGCTGAACCTGCAGATTATCCCTCAAATGGAGAAAGGAGAAAATGTTGTAGTTGTTGCAATGAGGCATGGGGGTTGGGTTGACCAGACAAACATACCTCCAAGCAGGGTCACAAACAATGCCTAAAAATATTTTCACCTAACAAGACTAGTAAATCCTTATCTTATAATGAAGTTCATCATGAAAAGCATCATATCAATTAGGCAGATGGAAATGGGATACATATCCACATGGGCAAGGCTAAAAACATTATTTTTATTTGGTATATATGTTCTCTTGTTACAAGAAAAAATAACAAAAGCTCACCATGTGAGTTGGAGATTGGTGCGGAATGCCACTTTTATTTGCTAATTTTTTCAGCCTCCGTGTTATTTCAATGTTAGTTTTGTATCAAAATGGTTAAGTGTCCCCAATTCTGGTAAATTTGTCTAAATCTGAAAGTAAAAATCCTATTTACATGAAGTCCATGTTATATTTATATTTCCCTTTAAAACAAGCTTTTATCGCTAAAATACTTTTGGTCTGGCGCATATGTTACTTACAAAAGGGCTCAATAATATCGATATTATTGATATATCTCTAATCACAATAAAGGATCTGTCACTATAAGTGTCACTATAAACAAGGTATAAATCCAAGTATGATCAAATGTTAAATTCTTATGAAACTAGACAACAGCAACGCCAAAGCGTAGCAAATCCCATCGAACAGCCATGGCTGGCATATTTACAAACAAAGTATATAGCAAAAATGGCAGCCATTTTTCAAAATGGCCACCTTCTACCAAAAGTGTCATTACACACTACTTTGCTCCACTACTTTTCGAGTTACAGTAAAATATGTTAAAAAGGTGGCCATTTTTCAAAATGGCCGCCTTCTTCCAAAAGTGTCATTAGACAGTGTGCAATGCTTATAGTATTCACATACCAAATATGAACAAAATCGCTCCACTATTTTTCGAGTTATAGTAAAATACGTTAAAATGGCGACCATTTTTCAAAATGGCCACTTTCTACCAAAAGTGTCATTAGACAGTGTGCTATGCTTATAGTATTCACATACCAAATATGAACAAAATCGCTTTACTACTTTTTGAGTTACAGCAAAAATCGTAAAATAATGAGTAAAGGCCGCCATTTTTCAAGATGGCTGCCATGTGCTTCTTTAATATCTACATTTCTAGCTTTATTAATGTCCTATATAATTTTTTACATTTAAAACATATTGCTATTACAGTTTTACATATTGCACCTAAATTACTGTAAAATCAGCACTAAAATGGCCACCAGCTTTCGAGAAGAACTTCTACCTCCATACGGTATATGTGTACAAAATATAAACTAAATCGAGCCAACAGTGTTGGAGTTATTGCCAAGACAGACGGATGGCTGGACGGAGGCGTTCCCTATATCCCTCCGAACTTCGTTCTATGGGATAATAATAAAGGTAATAGTCTTCACTCACTGATGCCATTCTTATTTTGAAATTAAATCAACCCAAGAACATGTTTTCAGGCAATTCCAAGAGTGACCC